GATGTGCAGTTTTCTCTTTGTGTTTGGTCCCTTGGGATCACCTCTATTTTCTTAAAAGCATGATAGTGCTTTTTAAAGAATATTATTTTTTCACAGCATTAGTCACTCACAGTAGGAAAGCTTTCAGATTATCTACCATTACTGCTGGAGATCAGAATGCAGCCTGTTTTTCCCTGGTTATGATCAGCATTCTCTTGGTGATACTACAGGTCAAGTCTGTGTATTTTATGTAAACAAATGAGCAGGTTTGGGGCCATGAATCTTCTTCCCCTTTCCTTGTCTCTTCAGAAACATCCAGAGAACATTCTAAAGGCCGATCTGCCTGTGTCCACTTCAACCCCAATGAAGGCAGCGATGGAATCAGGCAGCCAGGAGCCTCCTCTGTGGAGAAGCCCAGGCGTCAGACAGTTGGTGAGCAGCAGTGTGAGAAGGGGAGAGGCTTCCTGAAGCATCCCTCCAGCACCCGGGTAGTGGGGACTGGTGAGAAAGGACAGGATCCTAGTCAGGCGGCTGTGAGTCTCCCACAGCAGGACGGCCCTGAGAAGCCCCGGCCGCGGCGTGACATGGTGCCCAAGGCCAAGTGTGCCCCCCGCAAAAGGCGTGCTCAAGAGCTCAAAGGAGGACGGCGCTCCCCGGCTGGCTCGAGCCGGCCTGGCAGTGCCAAGGGGGAGATGCTCCGGGCCGGGCAGGGTTCTCTCCACCATCGAGCACCGAGGAACAGAGTGCCGCAGGACAAGCTGGCAGGAGGGCTAAGCTCAGATTGGCCCCAGAGCACAGAGACGGTGAGAGCAGGAGCCCGCAAGCCGGGGACGTGCACTGCGTCTCAGGAGACTGGCCCGCCGCCTGGCCTCTCTGGACAGACTGTGAATATTGGCCTTCTCCCCGTAGAGCTCCGACTGCAGATAATCCAGCGAGAAAGGAGCAGGAAAGAGCTGTTTCGCAGAAAGAACAAGGCGGCAGCAGTCATCCAGCGCGCCTGGAGGAGGTAGGAGGGCGGGCTGCCGTGGCGGCTTTGGTGCTTGGGGGTCTCTGATGCCTCCTATCCCCCTTGAGGTTTTCCCAGTGAATTGCGTGTGGTGGCATGACGAGGCCGAGTTTAGGGGCCATGGGTCGGTGTCAACCTGACGGCATCTGACCCCCGGGGAATCACCCTGTGGTGGGCTGCTGGTCGGTGTCGGCCCGTCAGCTCCGGCTCACGGCGGCCCCTGTCCAGCAGAGCACAACGGTGTGCCATCCTCCACATCGCGGTGCGGCCGAGTCCATCGTGGCGGCCACCGCACTGAGTGCCTCCCGGCCGGGGCTCAGGTCCCAGCCCCGCCCTGCACAGTATTCTGTCAGGTGGCCTTCGTGCTGTTTCACACACCAGCAGGCTCACCGCGGTGGGCAGGCTGCAGCCGCCCTTCTCGACTGAGACAAGCGGCAAAGACAGGCCTGGTGGTCTACTTCCAGAAGTTAGCAAGTGACAACGCTCTGGCTCCCACCAGTGTGGGTCCTAGTCACTTACTTGCATGAGCTTCGTGGGAGGGGTTTCTGCCAAGATGGATGGAAAGGGCCCCCAGCAGCAGGACGTGAAGGATCTGGGACCCAGAGTCCCGAGTTCCAGGTGAAGGAGTAACAGCAGGTTACCTGACCTTAGGCAAATCACTTGGCTTCACTGACCATCGTTTCCTGCCCTGAAAAGTGGGCTCTAATCACCACTGCGCACCCGTCCTGTTTCTACGACAGGGTTGCTGGAATGACAGTGATGTATGTTTTGTAATCTCTAACACACTACACACATATTTTTCCTCCTTTATCTTTACTACTCAGCGATTAATCATACCACAGATACCCAAAGCAAAGCCTGCATATACTGGATTGACTGACAAATTACAAATGTTTTTCTGAGCAACTACCAAGCCCACGACATGGACTGGTACTGGGAGTGGGGTGGAGGCTCTGCTGTGAGGGGACAGTGTCAGGTGGTCCAGACGGATGCTTCCTGGGAGTAACTGAGAGGACTGGGATCATCTCTTGCTAAGAGCCTTCTCGTGTCTCAGTCTCCTTCACACTGGTGGCACCAAACCCAGCCCCCTGCCCAGTCAGTTCCCACGCAGCCACCCAACAGGACAGGGCACTGCCCCGTGAGAATGCCAAGGCGCGAACCTCTATGGAAGCAGCCTGCCCGGTCATCCCGTGGAGCAGCTGGGGCTTCAAACTGCCAGCCTTGATCCCCTGCACCACCAGGGCCCACCCTGTAAGCACCAGTAGGGCCTAATTTTTAGATCAGGCCTTAAGTGAAAACCAGTGGCCAAGGGCGGCCTGGAGCCGCGGCTGCCCAGTGGGGCCCGTGGGACCTTCCCGCAGAGCAGAGTGATGGGAGCTGTCTTAGGTCTCCAGGGCCGCGGCAGCAGGCCCGCTGCACGTGGGCGGCTTCAACAAGCCAACTTCTCTCTCACTGTTGAGGAGGCCGCTGTTGGGACGTGCCGTGGAGTCGCCCCGACTCAGAGCGCCCCCTCCTTGGGTTTCCGAGGCGGTATCACTACGGAAGTAGATTGAACGGCCAGCCTCCTGGTTAGCAGTCAAGTGCCTTAGGCACTATGCCACGAGAGCCACACTCACGGAGCCAGCTCAGGGGAGGGCGGCCGGCCCTGGAGGGAGGGCCCTGTGGCTCGGCGCTCCCTCCCCGCCTCTGCTTGCTCACGTGTGTTTAATGTCCTTTATATCTCGGAAGGAAGCGCTGTGGTGCAGCGCCTAAGGCACTTGACTGCTAACCAGGAGGCTGGCGGTTCAAACCCACCAGCCACTCCTCGGAAGGAAGGTTGGGCAATCTACTTCCGAAGTGATACCTCCTCAGAAACCCAAGAGGGGGTCGCTGTGAGCTGGGTCCGACTGAATGGCAGTGAGTGTGGTTTCCTTGCCTTTATCTCGGGAGAGACACATTCAGGATTCACCCTGCACCACGACACGAAAAATGTCATCAGTGTCCCCGAGCTATGGATGGAGAAGCTGTTATGTTGGTGGCATGCATGTCTGCACCACATTAAAAGTAAATTTTAAAAAAATATTCACCCTGTACTAACCCTGCCTTGTTAACAGAACAAAGACAGCCCATTCCCAAACGGGATGAAGTAACCACAGGCGGTAGAGGTTGGAATGCCCAGCACACAGCTCTGGGGGCACCATTTAATCTGTGTCAGGAAGCAAGCTAATGACTTCAAGCACAGGAGGGAAACAGAGGGGCCTGGGGGGAACCCTAAGACCAGAAGAGAGAGAACGGGATTCCCAGGCCCAGGCCTCCAAACACCGTGCAGGCTGCCCCCTCGGGGTTGGGAGCTGGTCGGGCCGGCCCAGCCTTTGCGGGCTTTCCTGTCTGGTCAAGCTGCACGCTCTGGCATGACCCCGTTTGATCTGGTCACAGTACGAGGCAGTCATGACAGGGATTAGTTCCCCTTGTCCTGGGGGTGCAGCTCTAGCACTTGAACGTCTGTCTCACTCAGCTCCAAGGGTTTCCCCTCCATTAGGACAGTTCGGTCTTGCTGTGGTCAGAATACGGTAGCTGGAGGCAGGCCTTGTACCCCCCGCCTCAGAGCAGAACGGCTGGGAAGAGCTGCCGGGAGGGGCCTCACAGTCAAGGTAACTGTCAGGGCAGGGTGATGTTACGATGCTTACATTTAAAACTACTGGTTAGCACTTTTCTAAGTCGTTTTACACGTATTCACGTAATCCTCCCAAAAACCCTTTGAGGTAGGTACGTTCTCCTCCTGATGAGGAAACGGAAGCATGGTATAGGGTGTTAACTTCCCCAAGTCAGCGCTCATAGGTGACAGCACTGGGCTGTGTGCCAGCCCGCCTCTGAGGCCACAGGCTGGACGGTCGTGGGCTCCCTCCTTGGGCCGTTCTTCCAGGATGTGCACTAGCCACCATCCCAGAGGAACTCTGTGAAGTACGTCAGGTGCAACCTGGGATCTCGACACGCCAGCCAGGTTTACCACCGACGCAGGCTCCCCACCTGCTCCCCAGCTAAGTGCCTCGCCCGCAGACGGTCCATGCTTTGACGCCTTTGAAGAGTCAGGAGTTGACAGGTGCTGTCAGTAAGTGTCCACGGTAGCAAAGGAGCCTTCAGTCACTCCGAGAACAGTGGGCTCAGTCTGCATGCCCGTCTGGGAAGGCAGTTACACAGGCGCCCTCTGGCTGGAGGCCAGTGATGCCCAAACGGCTTCTGGGGTGCTGCCCACTGTAGGAAGTCACAGGTCTGAGGACATCAAAAACACTCGTTGATAGTTGTGTCCGTATACATCTTCCATTTTAACTATGGGAGCCCAACGTCTTGTTGGGCTGGGACTGTCTCATCTGACGAGAAGCCTAAGGAGCACTGAGCTGTGGGAGAGGCAACAGGGCCTGGCACCGAAGCGCTCAATAAATGCAGGTTCAGGAGACGAGTTAGGGATGGAGAAGGGCCTGGAAAACTCATGGGGATGAAGTGAGCAGACTGTACTTTGGGCCCTGAGAAAATGAAGCAGTTTTAAAATGCAGTGTGAGTTTTATTACCAACCAAGACTTGACTTTTCTCAGGTAAATAAGAACAGGCTGAACCATAAGGCGAGCTCGGAGCTAAGAAAGCCTCCGGCTGTGTTAGGACTCTCAACGAGCCAGAGCACGTGTTCTTGACAGGAGGGCAGAGGATGTTCCTCTGCACACAGGGACCATCATGTCACCTGGACACACACTCAGTCTCTGTCAGAGTCGGTAGGTGGAGGCTGTGCCCAGTGAGAGCCACACCTGCCAACAACTTCAGCAACAGCCGAGGCTCCCAGGGCGCTCTCTACAAGAGGGTGAAGACACGCATCTCCAACGGAAGCAAGCCACCTGTGGACAGTACTGCCCCATCACCCTCACTTCGCTACAGGTGGCTTTCTGGACACGGGGTACATATTCCAGTAGAGGGATGCCATGGCCTGTCACTCTCCAGGACGTGAACGGACGAACAATGTGGTCTGGCTGAAGCCAGCCTTTGGGCAAGGAAGGAGGGGACGCATCAAGCACTGGGAGGTTCTGGCAGGTTTGGGAAGATGGCTCGGTGTATTATTATAAACTGCGGCTCAGCCAGGCCTGGGGGCTGCGTGCTCCCTGGAGGCCCACAGGGCGGAGGCGGCTCCAGGGCCTGGCCCCTGACGCAGCTTTCCTGGGACGCTCCCAAACACTTGTGTTCAAGAAGTGGTTTGGAGCAACGTATGAATGAGAGCGAGTGGGGCAGAGACCATCAAGAAGCCCTCTGGCAACACAGCCGTCACGCCCTGCCCTTCTCTCCACTCCAGGCTCCACCCCTTCAACAGAACCAACCAACCAACCAACTCGCTGTCATGGAGGTGATTCCAACTCACAGCGACCCCCACTGGGTTTCCAAGGCTGAACCTCCCCTTTGCCTGTCTTCTTGAAAACCTGAGTCCCCAGCACAAAATGCAATCGAAGTCCTCACCAATATCTGACTGTGGGACCGGACAGCTGAATTGGAATGTTGGCTCCTCCTGACTTTGGCCTTGTAACCTTCTGCAAGTTCCTTAGCTTTTCTGAGCATCATGTCTACCTCAGTTATTTTTAGGCTTGATCTTAAGAAAAATGGCTGGCACACAGCAGGCCTTCAAGAACGCTGGCTCTTTCCGCGGCGTCTGCAGCCTGGCCTCCACTCCTTCCCTCACCACACACACAGTGGTCCAGCCACATTGCATTTCCGCTTCGCCTGCACACATCCCCACGTCCGTGCATGCAGTCCTGCCCCCTGGAATACGGCTTTTCTGCCTGGTAGGCTCCCACTCATCAGTAAAAACCCAGCACAAGTAACAGGCTTCCTGAGGCCTCACCAAGCCTCCGAGTGTCGCTCCTGCACCTCTGCATCTGTCCCCAGTCCAGCTTTTTTGCTGCTGCGTAGTATTTCTCCTGAAGGAGCTCTGGTGGCCTAAGGCATCTGACTGCTAACCAGGTTGGTGGTTCAAACCCACCAGCTGCTCCAGGGACCAAGAGGGGGCAGTCTACTCCATGAAGATTTATCACCTCAGAAATCCAGTGGTGGTCACTATGAGTCAGAATTGACTTGATGGCAGTGAGTTTAGGTTTTTCTCCCTTTTTCTAAGACTGTTAATCCTACAGCACGTGCTTGTTTATTTATCAGCTTATCCTACTAGTCTGTGAGCTCCTTTGGGGCAAGTTCTAATAGGATTCATTTTACCTAATTCAGGAAATGTTTGAGGATAGACAGAATGCAACATTCAACCTGCTACCAATGAGGATAAAAGCTTGACTGAACCTCCCAGAAATTCAGCAAATACTATTTTTATAGCTTCCAGGAACCTTTAGGAAATTCCGTTTTCTCAGTATTGTGATGTGGTGAAGTCTTAAAGCCCCTTCCCTCCTCTGTCCCCACCAGCTATCGGCTCAAGAAGCACCTCTCCACCCTTCTGCACGTGAAGCAGCTTGGCGCCAGAGATGTGGACAGATGGAGCCATGAGTGTGTGGCCTTGGTCCTCCAGCTTTGGCGGAAGGAACTGGAACTAAAGGCTCCAAAGACCATCGCAGCTGGCAGGACCACCAAGAGTCCATCCAAGGGTGGCTCAGGCATGAGGTCCGCCAAGCACTCAGTGCTTCAGCAAATCTACGGTAATGCTCTTCATGGGCCCCTTGCAGCTGACAAGCACCCCCAGAGAATCTGAAATGGGATTTCGTATGGGCAAAACTCCATTCAGAAGGGGGCTGAACTTAATCACTTGGAAGCACCCAGATTTCTCAGCACCACCCATCACCCCACCCCCAGACAATTCTGGGTTACAGTTGGTTTCATGAGGTATTCCAGCTTCTCAGCCCACAGGGCCTTCCAGCCAAGATTCCCCCATGGGTTTCAGGACTGAAAACCTCACCGACACCACTTGGGTCTTACCCCTTACCTACTTGAAGGGCTCCAGGCTCAGGTTGCCCTGCCTGCCTCACTGGGACCTTCCCTACACTAAGACAGTACAGGGTTGCCTACTCTGTTGTAGAATGCCCCCAGAACCAACCACTGTAGAAAATAATTGTTCATGCAGATGAGCTCCTGTCCAGTGAAACATTTTCACCTCTGGATAAAGCTCATCCAAAGAAACTCAGCAGACAGTAAGGCTGGCTAACTCTCCAACAGAAAAAAACTAAGCCAAGGCACATTTCTGGGCACAGCTCCTGCAGTGCCCTGGGCTTCCACGGGACACGAACCCATCTTGGTTGACACCTGCCTGTTGCTCAGTAAGGAATTCAGAATATGGTCAGGCCACTGCTGTCAGTGGTCAAATACAGATGACCAGTTTTGGTTGATTTCAGGTTGCCCTCAAGAAGGCAAAATCCATCTTCCAACTAGATCTCCCAAAGCCCCGTCTGTGCTGCATCTCGGTTCAGGTAAGACAGCCCTGCACTGGCAAAGCAGGGGGGAGGCACTGGGGGAGAGAGTGTGGGGAGGCTTCCCCCACTTCCAAAGGTGGACATTAGAACAGACTGCCAGGGTTTCCAGTGGTCATGTGATTTCACGTATGCATGTTTTTCATGTCCTTGCATGGAGTTATTACTGCAGTCAACATCTGGTCTCCATCAGAGCCAAAGCTGTTGGTAGTACAACCTCCAGCAGAAACAGCAGATGGTAGCTACCACTGGTCACCTTCATATACTTGCTCACATGAAGGTAGAAATGAAAATACTGGCATCCTTCACAGCAATAGCTTAGGAGTTCTTGGTCCATTCTGGTTTCACATTAGGATCTTTCATCTTCTTCCCCAAAGAGGGGGGGCGAGTCCCTTCACAATTCTGCCTGCTGCCTCCCAGGGCCCATGAGAAGAGCCTGGTAGCATGGCCAGCTCAAGCTCACCTGTCCACTTCCACTTACCAGGAGCAGCTCAGGGAACTTTCTTTCCAGCCCCAAGACAAGTGTTTTACTCAGGGCCCCTTCATTCACACACCAGCATGAAACGTGGGTGATAAGTTCACTGCTGTCAATGGCTAATGCCAGTTTCAGTGTTTCTCCATAGGTGGCTATAGCAACAACCCCCTCACCTATCCGGGCCACCCTGAAGGAACAGACTGCAGCTGGGACAGGAACAGTGACCGTCAGCATGAACTTAACATCCATTTAGCTTTGCAGGGAGGGACAGGTAGTAATTACCGCCACCATCTTTAATGGGAGTTGGGCAACTTCGCATAATGTAGGGAGGCTGATCTGGGAGTGGCGAGTGGGACAGTTAAAAAACTTTCAAAGGGATCCAAGCCCCCAACGTTCTGTGGAAGAAAACGTTCATCTTTATGCTTGAGTGAACTGAGAATAGGTTCAAAAAGAGAATTGCCAGATAAAAGTGGCATTTAAAATCAAATACTATAAATGAGATAATCAGAGTATTTCTTACTTTGTCTTAAAACAAAACCCAGGACCATCAATCTTAAAATTAACGTGTTTATTGGGATAAAAGATCTTCAGTTAAGGGGCTCAATGGACAGAGGAAACAAATTCAAAGACATGCTTAATGGTTTCCTACACTCAACAAAAACAAGCTTGTCTAACCTACACGTACAGTTCTGAATGATTTGAAGTTGGACAAGGACTAAATAAAGACAATCTTTTCCTAACTCCAAACTCAGGGAAACAAGGTTAGGCCCTCCCCCATCCACAGTACCAACCAGCGACTAAGGCTGCAAGCTAGTTTCACTGAAGCCTGTGTCTTATACAGAATGCATGTCTATAAAAGAAATATCCATAAAACACGTGTGACTTGGACACACACAAGTTTTTGTAATGTGAAATTAGAGACATCAAATTGAAACAAAAAGGACAGAACATGAACTTTGGTCTTCACCTGGAATGAAAATGAGGCTGGTTCACCTTTGACCTTGTGAGTGTCATGGGGTCAGGGATCTGGTTCCTGCTCACTGCTCTATTCCTGGTGGTAGCAAAGTGCTGGCGTCCTAGAGGTGCACAGGCATTGATGAATGAATACTGTTGCTCCCACCCTCTAACGTGGGAGATACTCTCCTGAGGCCTCTACCTCTGAAAAGAGGAAGCAGAAGCGATGAGAGATAAACGTGTGGCTACTGTCTGTCAGTTTCACACGTCTGCGCACTAGAACACCGAGCAAGCACCTGGGAATCTGGGCCAGTGAACTACTCCTGCTCTCTTGTCTTCTCCACCCACTCCTGCAAGCCACCCACAGAGTATCAGCACTGCAGGGACCGAGTCTCTTATCTGTATAGGTGTCTTGTTTGTTTAAACCTGGGCCCATCCCTTTAAAAATACAAGAACCTCTTTCATAAATTCCATTCTAATGAATAGAGTAACCATGGATTAAGTGATTAATAATGGCATCCCGTGTAAGAATCCAGTATACCCCTGTCCATGTGCACAGGGGTATGGAGATGATGACTCAAGATCATATAGTGAAGGCAGAGGCCAAAAGCGTGGCAGAGTTCCAAAGCAGTCGTTCACTTTAAAATAATTTCAGGAAAAATTATGGCATAAATGTTGGTGACTCTTAAACTATTCATTTTTCGTATCTGCTTGCTTGTTCCACAGAAGCGAGCACCATCAGCCTCAGCAAGGTCTGCACACAGGGTGGGCCTTGGTAGCCGTCTGTTAAACGAGAGCACTGACGACAGCACTGTTTTCCAACATCAGTTTGTAATTTCAAGGTCTTAAAACGGCCTCAAGAAATCCATTTTCCATTGGATATACCTCTTAGTCCAACATTCTTGAGAAGCAAAATAGTTTTTAAATGGACTGACTGACTTTCTGGAAGGCACTCTAGGAGACTGTGTGGCACAGAGAAAGTTAAGAACTCAGAGGTGGGCGGGCTGTATGAGACACAAATGGAGAGAAATGGAGCAGCCTAGACTTCCCATCCAGCTCAGGTGCCTACAATCCTCCAGATCACATGTCCTCCTTGAAAAGATGTCACTTATTTTTGAGATGGTGGACCATGCAAGGTCACTGAGTCATCCTCCCTCCACAGTAAACTAGCCCATCACCTTATCGATCCTAAACCCTTCCTACCACCAAGAGCTCATCCCTTCTGTATGACAATGAATGACCTGGTATATATCTCATGTTCATTTTCAGCAGTGAGCACCTTGCAGTGCATCCAACTCCATGAGAACAGTGGAAGATCAAAGACCTTTTCTTACAACCTGCGATCAGCTACTACTCGATCAAAAAGCCAAACAAAGCTGTGAGGGCCTACTTCGAAGACTGTGTATGAGGGAGCCGGAATGGCTGGTACAGAGTTCTGATTCTCTGTTGATTATCTTTCCCATCTTGGGAAGACTTTAATACCAATGCCTGAAGTCTCATTAGCCTGAAAATGTGGTGACAACAGAGAACGTCCGGTGCGTCGTCTTCCCAGTCTCACAGTGTAAGCACTGTTTTGTCATCACCTTAGCCAGACTCTAGGAGGTTCACAGGCCTTCCCATCAGCCACTATGCTAGAAATGCCAACTAATGGGGAATAGTACAGTCTAGGCAATACAGGGCTACTAGGTTAGATTTCTGCCAGCTGGCTGGCACGGGCCTAGTTTCTTGACTCAAGAGAAGAACCTCAATGAGATGGGAAGGTGAGCCTGTCCTATGGCAGCCTTCTTCACGTCACTACTAGTTCTGGGATTTAATCCAACGAACGCCATCACAGACAGCACCCCCTCACTCCACTCCATTAGCAGTTTTACATTTCAGACCAGCATCATGACTCAGTGCTGCTTTTAGAAACTGCGTGGAAGCCCACAGACGCTTTCTACCGACTCCTGATGTGCTGAGCCCCCGGCGGCCTCTGCCAGGTGTCCTGTGCCGTTTTCTCACCAGCTGCAGCAGCACCGTAGCAAGGAAGGTGGGTTCACAGGCCAGACTGTCCATGGAGTAGGGTACCTATCCAGGCGTCAGCATTCCCCTTGCGTTTTCTCCTCTGTGCTTTCTACAAGACAAGCAATCTTGTCAGAATGCCATTCCTCTTGGCAAGGAAAATGGTGCTAACTGCACATTCTAGCCCTCTAAGAATATCAGGTTAAAAATAAAATCCAGGCATCGGTCTTCTGGCCTTTTGCACGTTTTTCAAGAGGAAGGCTGCCGTGGGGATGTAGACGAGAGGCACAAACAGCGACAAACATCCTAGGCGCACAGGTATCTGAAAGGCAGCTTGCATTTCCTTCAGATGTGTGACGTCTCTGTGCTGGCAGCAGGAGAAAAGGAGCAATGAAGTGGTGTTTACTTCCTTATCTTAATTTTCACAGCTTTCTATTTAAACTGTTGTATTTGTTACTTTCATAATGATGAGGTATTATACAAAATCACTATATACAATAGGTAACGTTTAAAAACTATAATGGATCTTTAATAGAAAATTATTTTGAAAGAATACTTCTCCAAATTAGACCAAGCACCATTTAGATATAAGAAAATCCAAGCCAAATACAACACAACACTGTCTGGAAATCTTGCCCCTTCATGGAGGGTTAGAAAACTCTGCCAGTAACACAACTCCACAGGGAGATGCCGAGGGTCCTGATGGATAAGGGCAAGCTCCCCAACCAACCTAAACACTGGCTCCCGTCACCGGCTCGGTGACGCTGAGACACAGGAGATGACGTCTGCCTAGACGGGATGACGAAGATTTTGCTAGCTTCCTGGTAAAGAATAGAAGGTATCACATTATTATGATCTATGTTATAGTATTTCCCTTCCGGGACATGTAAAATGCACTACCCGCTGTCCCCATATGCCATGAGCCACTCCAGGAGGTCCACCTGCCACCAGAGGGAGTCCCCAGTGCGTCCTTTCTACTTCAGTGTAAAGAAGGTTCATAAACGACTTCTTTAAAAGTTCAGCTTTTAATGACAAACATTCATCCCCATCAGTTTCTCTTCAAAATTAGACAGATGTCAATAAACAACTGCAAACAGGAGGTACCGTGCTGTCTCTTCAGTAGACTGTACTCAATGCGCTAGGCCCCTGGGGATGGCCAGTGAGGTGCACGTTGAAGCAGTAATGTAAGTCTGTGAGCCACTGTTCCTGGACCCCTCCACTCTTCAGCGTCTGAAGAGAAAAACAAGTCAGTGGAGATTCGCACCAGTATCGCTACACTGCGTGACAGTGTTTTTCACCCCAACAGGATCTCTCAGAGCCCTCAACAACAGTGCCTTCCCATCTATACATCATCCCACGGAGGGTTCTTAGAAGAAGGAACCTGTCAGTTGGGCATTACCACAAGCAGGGAAAGCTCCCCCTTATACCCTCCAGTACAAGTCCAACAGCATCTGGGGGGATCTGTTCTCTCTCCTGTACGTCAGGACAAATGGAACCTCACCCTTCAGTGTTTCTGAACCCGTGACCTTCCCATTGGCATGGCAGATCTCATGGTCTCTGAGAAGTCAAGAGCTGCACTAGCATCTACAAAGCCGACTGACAATCTGTCAATTCCTTCCTTACAGAGACGGGACGGGCTGAGTCTCCAAATCTGGAAATAATTCAAAATACTGACTTCTGTCATTCCTGACTACCCTACTACCTCTTCCATCATTTCTTCAAAGGCTACTGAAAAAATTCAAAATGAGCACCTGTGTTATATGCGTAAGGAGCTCTGGTAGCACGGTGGTTAAAGCATTTACCTTTTAAAAGGTTGGCAGTTTGAAAGCACCAGCCACGCCATGGGAGAAAGATGCAGCAGTCTGCTTCCATAAAGGTTTCAGCCTTGGAAATGCTATGGGGCAGTTCTACCCCGTTCTATAGGGTCACTAAGTCGAACAGACTTGGTGGCAGTGGGTTTGGGTTATATACGAATAAAAGCTCTATCACACCGGAATACTGCTACAGAGGCCTGTCAATAAATTCCCAGGCACCTACACAAAAAGCCTCCCTTCTAACCTGCCCAGACCACCTAGACAAGACAGCTGGCCACCCACCACACCCACAGCTGAAGGCAGAGAGCAAACCATTAGAAAAACCTGAAGTCTACCGCTTCCTTCTTCCTCCCACTCTCCACTAACCAGAAAGTGACTAGAAACTGACCTCAAGTTTATTCCTGCTCAATCATTTCCTTATAGCTAACATTTGTCAAGCACTTAATAAATGCCAGGCACATAAGAACTGTTCTTGGAAAAGCTTACCTAATGTTCACTAAAACCCTTATCTTACAGCTACGAAAACAAGCTGAGGTCAAATAACTTGCCAAGCTATCACAGTTAACAGAGTTGGTAGCAGAATTCAGGTAGAATTCCAACTACCTAAGCTGGCTGCCACCGTAATCCAGTATTTGTTTTTAAAGCTTTAATTACTGATTGTGGAATCAAAGACATGCCCCTAGTTAAAATACATTCAGGGAACACCCTGAGAAAGATCACACTGGGCTTGATTCTAGGGTGTCAGTCAGTACGGGAGTCCGACCCTCCCAACAGCACCCCCACCCCCGCCACGTGTCCCTTCCGACGTGAACCCTAAGCTCCCGGCACCAGGTCTCTTACCGTAATATTCCTGATGATCTGCTGCACCAAGACCACGTTGGCCAACATGTGCGTCCTCAGGGGCGCGTGCTGCAGCAGCAGGCGGAGCAGCTGGCCCACGACGGGCAGCTCCTTGAGGCCCGCTCTGTTGACACGCAGGCTCTGCAGCATCAGCCTGAGCACCTGAGGCAGGACGGCCAGGACAGACACACAGGCCCCCCACAGCTTATCCCTAAAGAGCAGAGATGGCAAGAGTCAGTGAGCGCAGCACGCACGGGAAACTCCCCTGCCCTCCCCACTTCCCAAAACAGAAAATGTCCTTTTAATGTTTCAAATAAAGTACCACAAACCAAAACTAGTAAGAACTGGGGTCCATGAGAACTACAAACAAATCCACTGACATGAGCTGACTCCCCCTGTTCTACGGATTCTAGGAAACCAAACAACTGGCACCTTCTGGGGCTTAGCAAGGCATTCTTCAAGAGCTAGTGATTGGACGTGACCCTGACTGATCACAAAGCATATCCTCTGCTACCCGTCACCAAGCATCACTCAACTGTCTCCTGTATCTCACCAAAGTCATCAGAAGACTAAGAACATCGTACTGGTAACAAGGGCAGAAACAACATTCACGAAGCTCTACACGCCTGACCACGATCCTGAGCCTCTCATTTCTCAGAACAGGGCAGACTTGCAGAGAGAGATGTGTTCACTGAGAGCCCGAACGGACTTGAGGAAGTAGTCAATCAGAGCACTATCACCCTGTGGCTAAGGTCACGGAAGCCCAGAGCCTTCAGGAAGCAGCATGTTCTTGGTTCTTTCGTAGAGCAGGTGCAAAAGCATTTACGGCAGAGACACAACTTGTATCTAACCACATTCCAGCAGAGTCACAAAAGCAGCATGCATCGAAAAGGGAGAGTCTGTGGCAAGGCACTCAGTTCAAGACCCTACACCCGGAGTGCAGAACCCTCTCAGGACATCTGGCTTCCTCCAGGCCTAGAGAGAGCAGCTCTTTCACTATATGCCCCACCCCGACCCCCCAACACCACATAGAGCAATCGCATCAAAAGTGGACACTGAACCCATTCCAAGCCAACCAGATTCCCTTCTCTGTAGAGACTTTATTTAGTCTCTTGACTGACGCAGAGCCAGGCTGGGGTAGCCACGTACAAGGGGAGGGGACAGCGCCAGAGTGCAGACACAGCCAATAAACAGGCAAATCACAGAGATGCGACACAACCCCGAAGGGAAACTGCCACAGTCCTGCTGCCTTTGATTTCTAGTCCCAGCTCCTAATGAGGCTCGGCTGCATTCCTGGCATTTGGGTTTTACAAGTTACTTTTTCCAAGGTCCAATACATTCATTTTCTGCTTTAGTTAATTTAAATGTATTTCTAGTAATTCCCGGCCAAAACTCTGCTAAAAGAGCTAACGGTTCCTATCTCATACGAAGCATAAGGCTTAGCCTTCCACTCTTGAAGCACCTCAATTAAAGAAAACTGTCAAGCCAGAGAGAAACAGAGATCTCAATGCCAAAACAGACGAGGCACAGTGACAGCCATCCTCAGGAACCAACAAAGCTGAGGTTTCAGCCCAACATAAAGCAATGGTTCTAAGCATTTTTAAGGATCTATCACATCTGAAAGAAAGCAACTGAAGTTCAATGTTTTGCAACAATTTTCTGAGGAGCTGAGATAACTGTGCACCAACTAATGATACCTGCAGGTCTGAGACCACCACCCTGCCCTT